GGGGGGGGGGTTCTCGTTTGCGCAACATGTCACAATATTATAAATTATAAATGAGGAAGCTGCTGTGCTTTCATAGTGTTTCAACTGTTCCTATATGGTTCCCTCTAGGCACAAGTGTTGGGTTGTTCTGCCTGTTATGTTATGCTGCATGTCCCTCTTGCTAATAATGAAGTGCACCAGGATACTACAATATAACATTCTCACCACCTTAAATGAATCCTGATATAATTTCTAGACTCATAAAGAGACGAGTATATTGAAACAGCAAGCAACTTAACAGATTTATAAACATTCATAGATGTCTTTCATTCCTGGCCTACTTAATGTCACATGGCAGATTCCTTCACTCCAAGAAAGAATACATTTTCTTTTACAGATGCTTGCTTTCATACCCTGAAAACAGACTGTCTAGACACCAAAATATGAGCTTATGATATAACACAGTTTATTCTTCGTGTTCGATGCACCACACCCTGACCAAGCAAGATGGCTCATACGGTAATACTACTGCCTTCTATTTGGGAGGTGACTGGTACTACCTCAGTCTAGTGACTTGAGTATACCAACTTGTTCATGGTTTTCAGTAAATACCTCGAGGAAAATGCTGTGACAGTGTCCTACGTTAGGCCAAGACCTCATTTCCACATTTCTTCTGATTCATTAGTGATGAATCACCCTAAAATTTGATAATGTTACGTGTATATGTGACTATAGAAAGGGTTTGGATCAGTAATAAGATTTACTGCTCACTTACACAACTTGTTACTATACTTCACAAACCATTATTGCACACAGACTAGTGTTCTCAGTCTGTTATAGTCTCCACTAGCCATTTATTTGTAGTGGCTTCCAACAGTGGAGGTTCTCCTCCCTCTGGGTTCCCGAACTATTCCTGTGTCTCAGCTACCAGCGTCTAACAGCAATAGCTCATGATGAGTGAATAGCAGCTGTCCTATAACTGGCTGCTCTACCAACTCACTTCATTCCACTGCACTGCACTCACTACTTGAACTGAACTGAACTGAACTCAGTAGGCTGACTCATATAACCTTGGAGCAGGCCCACAGAGAACACCATTAGCAACACCTCTTCTACTGTTCCGTGATGTCACCACATTATGTGTATGACCATTACCTAGCAACGGGTCTACATGCTACAATATTATATAATTTGAGCTACTCAGACGATTATTAAAAAACCATAAATAATAACACACAGAAGCAAACATCACAGTCACAGAAGTCAATCTAACTTCCAGGTAAAGACATTCAATAGCTCAGAGAGGATAGCAGGAGGCTGAGGGAGGAATAGCAACACAGCTCTAAAGTTATGCTTTGTTATCGATCTAGTGCGGACATGTACCACTTGGCAAGGAAAAGGAACAAGCGCCAGGGACTGCAGTGACTGCTCATAATATGGTTTCCCAGTTGAAGGTCATGGTAGCTATCAGTAGCAGGAAAACATACAGCTGGTTGCAAGTTTAAACATAAATTATTCTAAACAAAGTTTACTAGATTCAGACTTGACAGTTAACATTCTGTGAACAATTACATGCTGAACGATACTTCAGCAATAATGAAGCAGTGTAGTGTTACTAACACAGATTTTGAATTGGAAGCATGTCACATTATAAACAGGGAATCTTTCACTGGTAAATTTGGGCAGCACAATGCAGCAAAGAGCAATAATATCATACTTAAGATTTTTATAACTACTTTCCATTACATAACTTTTTGAGAGATACAGTAACTGACACCTACTATTATGGAAAACATTTCATAAAATCAGAGGTGAAACATGTTCAAACAAGACCTTCATTGCTGCCTTGGAAATCAACAATGGATAATAGTAATTATGTGCTTAGGGTATTTATGTGATATGGGGGATACTATATGCTTCAAGGACACCACAACCAAGCTGCATCATATTCCGCAAATGTAACACAATGGGTATTCAAAATTTGACTAAAATCGTAAGTTACAGTAATTTCAATCCAAGCATACATTTCTAGTGAATGAGAATCCAATCTCCTGTTGTCATGTTATTTAAATTTGTCTGAATCCTCTGGCACTCACAGGCTTGTGTCCTAATGAAATTTGGACACACAGAACATAAATTAAGGGAACTAAGCCTAAGCCTAAAGCAAACTGAAAACACAGCAAAAGGTGACATTCATCCTACACTGGCACGTGTGTGTTCCAACATCATGTAGCAATGAAGCTAGTCACAGAAGGGAGGTACACAATTTCAACAGATTTCAACAACATTTGAGCAGCAGGATCCAATCCTAGAAATTTCCCATTCATTCATGCATACCACAAACTTCAGTCCTTCCCTGAAAAACACAAATCTATATTCCTGATGTGGAAATATTATACATACATAGCATACATGATTGCTGCTCTATTGTCAAACATGACTAAAAGTATTCATGTGCCAAGGCTTACAGGCTAAAAAGAAACTCCACATAATGAAATCCAAGATACTGTTTGAGAGAAATGTAAATATATCCAGGCCGACTTTCTCCTGAATTAAATATGATAAGAACAAAAGTTTCCACTAGCAACATTTGTCATCATAATACATACCAGGTTAGTAAATAAGTAGTAACAACTCTTGTCAAAAAAAAACAACAGTAAACTACCTGTTCAATGGTGAATGACAACTGAAAATTCACTTGAATCAAAGGCTAATGACAGAATGTCTTGAGAAGTGTCTTCTAGCCTTCAACCATAAATTTTAAAATAAATGTGTCAACAGAATTACAACCCAATAAAACCACTATACAGCAAAATACAATTTACCAAACAAGAAAGTCTGCACAAATGATTAGTATATTTGATATGTAACTATTTTAACACCTGCAACCCACATAACTATTGCATTTTTTTTATAAGCACTGACCAAAAAAATGTGAGAAACATGCACAAGGGTTTCCTTTGTTTTCCAAATTTGCCGGGTCTATCCTATACAGCAAGAACAAGCAGGTATTTATACATTTGTGCAACATAATAGCTACATTCAATAGTACTTCTTCATTCCACTTACAGTAATATTCGCATGAATTTCATATTTCTTCCCATTTTTGCCTACGAATCTACAGTTCAATTCATCCACACTGGCTGACACTATTTGGAATCTTTCGTGGTTTTTTGGAAATACTGATTCTAAAGTCTTAATTTCTTGCTTTAATGTTATCAGACAAGCCATTTGTAGAACGTCCGCATATACAATGGTGAATTCTTGGGAGTTTTAAATACAAACAATCAGAAAGTCAAATACGTAACACCAATCACTCCCAAAGAAAATGGCGACTACAATTAGTTCGGTGTTCCTCGGCCATTTCCGTATTCGTGATCTTCGTGATCGTTCGTGATGGCTCTCAAATTGCGTATTTTGACCTTGTGTTCTTGTGTCTCATTTATAGCGATCTATAAGATCTATAACCTATAACGGAACGGAACCAAGTGAACTAAGGGTTGTAGTAGGGCCGCGCCATAGCTCAAGCGGTTAGTCGCTGGCGTCGGTGGCTTCCCACCGTGGCGGCCCGGGTTCGATTCCGGGGTCTGGTCAAGTGGGATTTGTGGTGGACAACGTGGCGCTGGGGCAGGTTTTCTCCGAGTACTACGGTTTCCCCTGCCAATCTTCATTCCACCAATTGCTGCACAATCGCCCACACCTATCATCTCGGGATGGTACGATAGGCCAGAAATGGCCACAGTACAAGGGACTTGGTCCCACCCCACTAGCAATAAAAAAAAAAAGGTTGTAGTTTTTGTAGACGATGTAGTTTAGGGCTGAAAGGGCTTATAGTGTACACTGTTTATTTCGTACCGTTGAGCGATTGTCCTGTGATATAAGAAATACTTAAAAGAAAGACAAATTATTTGTGGTTAACCCAGGTGCATCCATTTTCCAAGATGTGACATTTCTGCAAGAAAACCAAGATATAAATTAGGCTCTTTGTATGCAGTTGCTTTTAAGGCTATTTTCTCAAAAGACAAGTCCAAGAATTATACACCTATAATGCCTAAAGCGAAAAAAATATGTGAGTAGTAAATTTTGTGCTTCGTTTTGAAATATATGTCAGAGGGCCGTCTTAATTCATGGAATAATCGCACTTTGTGGTCTGGATCATAGTGACTGCATGAAGTCTACAGTATGCATATTTAGCCTTTGGGATAACAGCAGTAACTAATTTGCAATTGTAACTGCAGGTGAAATTTACTATTTAAACCAATTAAATCAACCTACAAATTCTCTATGATATATTGTGTGGAAGTCAATAATTACAAATATGATAATTAGCGCCCCGATTTTTATGACCTAAAAACTATAAATATATGCATGCACTTATGACCCAAAATTATGTCAAATATGACCTAAAAAGTGTAAAATATGACCTTAAATATTAAATGGGACATAAAATTTCACAATTTTAATTACAACTTTTACTAGAGTTTAAGAATAAAGATGATGAATATATGATAGTAGGTCCTACTTACCAAATTAGCCCTATTATGTCTCTGAAGGAAAGAAAACTGATGGAATTTCGACATTTCATACTGGATTAAACCATTCATTGTTTTCTTTTTAATACTGATATTTGCGTTCATATTTTAGACAAACACTGGTGCACATG